CTTCTCCGTTGTTTTACATTTCTCCATTATAATATACTGGCTTATATAGCTTCATAAGTAGCAGTTCCAGTATAATATATAGGAACCAAACAAAATAAGAACTCCAGCTAATACACTAGAATAGCATCAACAAAAATTATGAAATCCAACTTATTATACATAAAAACACATCATAAAAAATAGAAACTCCAATCCATTAATCTTTATTTCAATCAACAAATCACTTCAAATCCATAAAAAACTGGATTATACACTTCCAGAATAAAATACTAAATAATATCCTTTTAAATGATAGACCTCCAGCATAATATACAAGAAGCAAAATTTTAAAGTCTTTAATTCTAGCAAATTTTTCTGGATACAACTTCTCCATTTTCCCGAATTACCTAAAATTTTGTGGGCCTATCCGAAACAACCTTACCGAATTCATGTAGATGGCGTGGACTATAGCACACGAAAATTTGAAAATCATTTTGAATTCCTATTTTATGGCCCTAAAACGCCAAAAATGGGAAACGGTCATGGCAAACCCATGACTATTATTCATTAGGTCGATTCTGATAGGCTCGAAAACTTTTAGACGATTCAAAACCGGTAGCTCGAATTCATGCAGATGACGTGGACTATAGCACACGAAGATTTGAAAATCGTCGTGAATTCCTGTATTATGGCCCTAAAATGCTAAAAATGAGGAACGTTCATGGCGAACCCATAACTATTGTCATTAGGTTATTTCTGATGGGCCAGCAAAATTTTAGGCGATTTAGAGTCGGTCGCTCGAATTCATGTAGAATCGTCCTCAATTCATTTTTTATGACTTTAAAATTCCAACAAACGAGGAACGGCCATGGCGAACCCATGATTAATTTTCATTAGGTCGTTTCTGATGGGTCCAAAATATTTTAGGCCATTCGGAGTCGGTCGCCCGAATTCATGCAGATGGCGTGGACTATAGCACAGAGAAAAATGGAAATCGTCTTGAATTTCTATTTTATTGCCCTAAAATACCAAAAATCAAGGAACGATCATGGAGAACCCATGACTTTTGTTCATTGGATCGTTTTTATGGGCTTGCAAAATTTTATGCGATTCGGGGTCGGTTGCTCGAATTCATGTTGATGGCGTGGACTATAGTATACAAAAATTTGAAAATCATTTTGAATTCCTATTTTATGGCCCTAAAATACCAAAAATGAGGAATGGGCATGGAAAACCCATAATTATTCTTCATTAGGTCATTTCTGATGGGCCCGTAAAATTTTAGACGATTTAGAGCCGGTCGCCCGAATTCATGCAGATTGCGTGGACTATAGCACATAAAAAAATGCCAAAAACGAGGAACGGTCATGGCGAACCCATGATTATTTTTCATTAGGTCGTTTCTGATGGGCTCGCAAAATTTTAGGCGATTCGGGGTCGGTCTTCCGAATTCATGCAGGTGAATAGACTGTAGCATACGAAAAATTACAAATCTTCCTGAATTCCTATTTTATGGCCCTAAAATACCTAAAAATGATGAACGATCATGGCAAAATGATGAATATTGTTCATTAGGTTATTTCTGTTGGGTCTACAAAATTTTAGGCCATTCGGGCCGGTCGCCCGAATTCATGTAGATGGCGTGGATAGCACACAGAAATTTGGAATTTGTCGTGAATTCATGTTTAATGGACCTAAAATGCCAAAAAATAAGGAACGATCATGGCGAACCCATGACTATTGTTCATTAGATCGTTTCTGATGGGCCCGCAAATTATTTTAGGTAATTCGCAGTCAGTCGCCTAATAAGTGGGGATTTTGACTGCTTATTAACACCTTTTAGTTTTTGTTTTAGTCCGAAAGTATTGAATTGTGTTCCCGGAACTAATGAAAATTATGCAAAATTATAGGAATGCTGAAAATTTGGTCTCTCGAGATGAAATCCGACTAAAAAAGGAGTGTCCTGAAGCATAATACAATAAAGGGCGCAGAAGCACAAATGTGCGATCCGTAGAAGGAATTTTACGGCTGCAAAAGAAATTGCGGACCGCAGAATTCCATCTGCGGCCGCAAAACAAGAAGAAAAATTTACCAGACCTTTCATCAATGTGCGACGCAGAACTGGGCTAAGAGTCAAAGATTAGAGAGTATGCAAAAAGATCAAATCCAGGAGCCTTTGAGAATTGCGGACTGCACAATAATTGTGCGGCCGCAGAAGATTGCTTCGCGGCCGCAGTCCAAAAATGTGCGGCCGCAGAACTCCAGTTCCTGCCAGCCGAAGTAATCTGCAGACCGCACATGAAATTGTGCGGCCGCAGAACCTCCCGAGGAGCATTTTTGTCTGAGATTTTTAGCCCCGTATAAATAGACGTTTTTCACAAAATTAGGTCAAGTTTGAACATCTGAAGTTACTGTAGCTGCTTTTCTTTACTACTTTAGGAAGTTTTACATTATTTTGGTATATTTACATTAAATTTTATCATTTTAATCTTCCATTATGAGTTTAATTGGCTTTTCTTCTTTATTTTATTCAAACCCCATTATGGGTAGCTATACTTTTACTAGGATTGTGACCCAACCCTAGTGTGTAAACCTTGTGGGTATCTAATTTATTGCTTCTTTATGATTGAGTGTTGATTATTTAGCTTAGTTCATGCTTCAATTTTAAAATTAATTGTTGCAAACATTGACTCATGCCTATTTGACTTAGTCTCTACTTGAGAAAGAGGGGCCTAGTCTAGGATAACTTAGCTAACAAGGAATTGGGTCAATTGAGAGATTGATTAACCCAATTAAAGGGTTCAACTTAGAGATAGTAATAACCCGACTTGAGCTCTTACCAACTGTTTTGGTTGATACCCATTTGGAACTTGAGAAAGCCAAATTGGGCAAAATCACTCTCTGGCCGAGAGGTATTGAGTGGGTAATGTAGAGTTGAGAGCTATAATACACCCCAATCAACAAAAAAAGCACTAACGTCTTTATTCCATTAGGCAAACACCTAGGTTATGGTCACAGCCCTAGGCCTTTAAACTATTTGAAAAAACACTAAAAACACTGATTTGCTTCTAGTTTCTTTTCTTAGCTTATAATTGCTAGAGTAAAATTAGAATTAGAAATCAAAACCTGTTGTGGAAGTGCAATTTAGCTATTCCTTTCGCTTTCGTCAAGTGTATACTCCTAACACCCCTAGTAACTCACTGTGGAAATCGACCCCGACTCTTGTTGTGTACTATTCTTCCAACGACCGTTTTCACTTACTATTGAATGCGGATTGGACATGGATCATCGCCCGAATTAATGCAGCTAGCGTGGACTATAGCAAGCAAAAAATTACAAATCGTCCTGAATTCCTATTTTATGGCCCCAAAACGCCAAAAAAAAAAACGAGAAATGGTCATGGTGAACCCATGATTATTGTTCATTAGATCGTTTCTGATTGGCCATAAATTTTAGGTGATTCGGGGCCAGTCGCCCAAACTCATGCAGATGGCGTGGACTATAGCACACGAAAATTTGGAAATCATCTTCAATTCCTGTTTTATGGCCCTAAAACGCCAAAAAATGAGGAACGGTCATGGAGAACCCATGACTATTAGGTCGTTTCTGATGGGCCCACAAAATTTTAAGCGATTTGGGGCCGGTCGCCCGAATTCATGCAGATGGCGTGAACTATAGCACACGAAAATTTAAAAATCGTCTTGAATTCCTTTTTTATGGCCCTAAAACGCCAAAAAACGAGAAACTGTCATGGCGAATCCATGACTATTGCTCATTAGGTCATTTCTGATGGGTCCGTAAAATTTTAGGCGATTCAGAGTCAGTCCGCCCGAATTCATGCAAATGGAGCACACGAAAAATTGCAAATCATCCTAAATTACGTGTTTTATGGCCCTAAAACGCCAAAAAACAAGGAACGATCATGGCAAACCCATGAGTATTGTTCATTAGGTCATTTTTTATGGGTCCGCAATAGTTTAGGCGATTCGAGGCCGGTTGCCCGAATTCATGCAGATGACGTGAACTATAGCACACGAAAATATCGTCCTGAATTCTTGTTTTATGGCCCTAAAACGCCAAAAACGAGGAACGGTCACGGCAAACCCATGACTATTGTTCATTAGGTCGTTTCTGATGGCCCCGAAAAATTTTAGGTGATTCGGGGCCCATACCCTGAATTCATGCATGGCGTGGATTATAGCATACAAAAATTTGGACATCATCCTGATTTTTTGTTTTATGGCCCTAAAACGCCAAAAAAACGATAAAAGATCATGACAAACTTATGACTATTGTTCATTAGATCGTTTATGATGGGCCCGCAAAATTTTAGGCGATCGGGAGCCAATCGAAACATAAAAACAAGACTTCCAAAATACCTAGTTTCTTAACAATACATTTGGGCAGATCAATAAAATTAACGAACTCTATGTGGCTCCAGTTGAACTCAATTATTTTATAGTTTTCTTTCAATAAAGAAAGGAAGTATTTCTAAAAAGAAAAGTTGGTATGGATATATTCAAGTCTTCGGAAAAGAAGCAACTAGTCTTAGTTTAATACGAAGCATCAAATAAAGTACAGTTTGTCATAGTTAATATTTTCCCTCATGAAGAAGAATTTTATGAGATTTGAACTCAATTACTTTCGGTTTCTACAATAAATAAATAAAAAGGAAGTGTTATATAAGTAAATCTTGATATGGAGTGGCAGAAAGAAGAACCTTAACTCACCTTTGCCCACGCGAAATGAGAAAACCAAAAGGAAAAGCCTTTAAGCTCAGGAGGGAAAGGCCACCTAGGTACACAAACTGTGATACCGTCTAAGGGCAGCCCGTGCACAAGGCGTCCCGTATTCACGCAAGGTCGGAAGAAGGATCGCACCCCAAGTGGTGTAATATAGGCAACATACCTTGATGCAAGCATCAAAGGCTAAATTCATTGCTCGAACCCGTGCTCCAAAGCTCCCCTTCAGATTGCGAGATCGTCTGTCTCGTGTAATCATTCAATTGAAAAATCACAAAAAGTTCACAACTAAGCTAATCTTTCCTTCACCAAGTATACCAAAGAACAAACAACTATTCAGATTTAATTCACAACGGAATGAAGATAGTTCATTTTTTCCTTTCACCAAATCTACAACTTGGAGTTCACAGAACTTAAACCTTTCATTCATTTGTATGTAAAGCAGGCAGAAATGTTAACAACTAAGTGTGATGATGGGGCACTCCAAATTAGATAGTTCCATTATTCAGACTGGACTGTTTCGGAAGCATTATTAGTATCCGCTGCGCTCTCTTGCAAAGAAGTCTGATCGTTCTGGTCGGGGACAGGTGGCATCTTTGATTTTTTCTTTTCCTCCTTGAGAATCACTTGCCTGGGCATCACATCTAACATAAAGTTTCCACCATTCCATATAGATGCTGAAACCTTGAGTACTTGGAATACAACATGCAACTTATATGACAAAAATATGGGCACGGTGAGTGCTGTAGTTGCTAGTGTAAATATGGCCTGGAGCAGAATATACATAAACAAGCGATTCTGATCCCCAAGCAAACCACTGACGCGCCACCATATGTTGTTTGCTTTCTTTGCCTTTTTTGAGAGCTCCCTACCAATTGACGAACATAATAGAATCAACACCAACCACAATACAACAGCCAGGAATAAACTAAACACAATGACCCACGATGACGTTCATAGACTAGCACAAAAAGGGACAGATGGAGAAAGAAAGGTGCATACACCCAAAGAAGACTTCATCATAGGCTGCAAAACTTAGACACTGAAATGGCTACCTGTAAGATGTCATAACTTCAGGGTCTCGCAGAAATCTCTGTCGGCGTAGGACATCTACTATGAGATAATAGAGAACCTGCCAGAGAAAATATGCAGCTAATGGGACCCAAAATAGCCAAGTCCAAAGGTAGGATTGGTTTTCTTTGTAAGGCCATGATGCTCGTGCTGGAGTCCCTTCAGGATGCATAGCTCCAAAAAACTCAGGATCCCACCAGCGAATTGTGAAGAAAACCAACCCTGCAAATCAGAATAGTTGGAGGTAATTAATTTAAGCAAGCCAAGAGTTCTTTAAAAATAAATTGGGGAGAAGACACGTACACATTCTAATTCAATGGACAAAGTAAGAATGATGTCAATATGTAATACAATGTCACATAAACATCTTATGATATCTGAACCGAAAGCTTACTACTTCCGGTAAATCACACAATGCAGCACTAAAAAGAGATTAATTATTGAGTGTTTTACATGATTTGCTGCAGCAGAAGTAGACAACTAGATAATTACGACTAAGAATCTCTGACAGACTTTGAAGTATTAGCTTTACTTGTAAGTGATTCACAGAGTGCAGCACTAAAAGGCAATTAATTACTGAGTGTTTGACACGTTTTGCTGCAGCAGAAGTAGAACAACCCGACAATTATAATTAATTAAATCTGACAGACTTAGAAGTATTAGCTTTCAGAGGGATTAAACATCCTCAAAGCATGGCATCAGGCATCCAAAGAAAACTAGAAGTGCCTTTGTAACAATTGACCTAGTGTTGACCTATACTGTACAATGCAAATTAACAAAAACTTAAGGGAAAGATAAATTGATAAAACCAAATATCATTAGCAAAAGGCATGATCATAACAACAATTATCACAAATGAAAAACATGACGCAAACAGAACAAACTCTTCAAGAGGGGAATATTAGTAAATATCATTTTCCCACATCACCTTTTTTCCATTTCATTTTCCTTTTAAGAAAAATCCTTTGCACAACTAAATTTATTGTCTCTTCTGTTGAGCCGAGAGTCTCCCGGAAACAGCCTCTCTACCCTTTTCGGGGTAGGGGTAAGGTCTGCGTACACTCTACTCTCCCCAGACCCCACTAGTGGGATTTAACTGGGTATGATGTTGTTTTTCCTTTGCACAACTAAATTATGGAAGCAGTTATACCTCGAGGCAAATACTTTGGTAATGAAACAAAAAATAGTCAACACTAAGCTATGTAATCAAATAGAAAATGGACAACCCAATACGAAATCTACTTCTAGAAGTTATAAAGTAACACTGAACTCAAAATCCAGATCCTTAGAATGAGACCATGACTAAAATATGGAGACATGGCAGGGCCTCAATGTATATATAAGCATGCATAATCAAAACAAGACATTCTCTTATTTTTAGAATGGAAGTTGTTTTTGTCCATACCCCACTTCACTGGTTTCTATGGTTGAGCGCAAATAACTTGCTATTGCCAGCACTAGGAAAACAGAAGAATGTCCTACTTACCAGGTAAAAGATGGATGAAGACACTGACAATTTTATCAACTGAACTAAAAACTAAGCTACAGCGCCAAACAATCAATGCCCATGCTAAAGGCCCCTGCAGTTATATGTAAGAGGATAAAAATTTAAGAGTAGATAAATCTTAAAGTTAGTATTAAGGACCTTTCAAATATAAGATGTTTACCTCTGCGAACGAGAAACAAACCATGAATAGCTTCTCATTTGTAGGGAAAAACAGAAGCGTAACTACAAAAATTGTGTTTGCATAATAGCAAAAGTCCTGCACAACAAGAAGCCCGAATTCTAATCATTTGTCTAACAACCAGGAATTACTAGACACAGGAAGGAACAGAAACATTATTCCTATGTTTTAAAGATTGAATTCCTTGTCCGAGAGGGTCGCTTGAGTAGAAACGGAAATAGTAGGACTTGAAATTAAGGATTAATATCATAAAACGTTTCACAGATGTTATTTTGACAAACTGATAATGCCGGAACACCAAATGAATATGCCGGTCCATCAGATAATTGTTGTCTGCCTTTCTCCTATAATCATTATGTTTAATCCAGTTTCATTTAAGATCTTGAGTTTACACGCTCTAGTAAAATTAGAATAAATAAATAAATAAATAAATAAATAGAGTTAAAGAGCATGCAATTACAACAGCCAACAACTCAGAATTCCATACTGCAAACTATAACTACGTGAAATCCTTTGCATAGCCCTTCTCCTACCAGTTATGAAACTGCCATTTGAAATATTAAGTTAAAGAACACAAATTGTACAGGTGAAGCTGGGCTTACCAAAAGATAGTAATGCCATTTCTTGTATCTGTAGTAGATCCATCTCAGAGGAACGAAAATGACATAGAACAAACAGTAAACATATCGAATATCCTGTGGCCCTAATCATTGAATCAGCCATTCCATAGTCAAAAAGAAAGCTAACACAAGATACTAAATTAAAATTCAAGAGGAAGCAATTATATAAAGCGAATAGCTAAGACTAGACATTTCACTCACTTGCACCCAGTATAAAGCAAAATGCCCCAAATCCAAGAACACCCATCAGATGTGTCACCTGCAAACACCATGACTCCAATTAATACAACTTTAAAGAAAACATGTGTAATACTGCAGACAAAAATTTAGTCTCCAAGGCTTTGATCTAGTGGTAAGAGCATAGCTTGTGACGTGTGGATTAGGGGCATGTCACGGGTTCGAAACCTGCTATTAAGGGCGGAGCTACTCTTGTCCAAGAGAAGTCATCTGACACCCCTTCACAGAATAATTACTCTAGGTCAAATTTTTATTTTTTATGTAAATATACTATATGTTGAATCCCCTTGGATTCTTCATGTGTTTACTTATATATTTTGAACCCTTAGTAAACAACCTAGCACTGCCACTGTCTATTGCAGACAGAAGCAATTGAGAAGCAAGGGCGGAGCTAGAGTGTCTGTGACAGGTTCGGCCGATCCCAGTAGCTTTGAATTTATTTAAAAATTCATTAAATATATCTAAATTATTAATTTAAAACCCATTAACTTAAAAGAATTAGAATCCCAAACCATATGTTATGGATTAGAACCCAGTAACTTAGGAATTAAAATCCATAAGTTTCAAATTCAGGAGGGTAGAAGTCGGGGCCATTATCTACAGAGGGCCCTCGGGATTTCTCGCTTATCAAACATTATTGTAGACAAAGATTTGGTTTATGGTGTTAACTCAAAACAGAGAAAAATTCACATAAAACAGCAGAAAAGGCAGTATGTATGCGTGTAATTGTAAATTGCGTGTGTATATGAACTTTAACCTTGTTAATAAATCGTTCATGTTCCTCAGCTCGTTTGGCGATCTTATCAGCTTGTTTTGACAAGATCTGTTTCGTTTTCTCCTTTGTTTTCTACAAACAAAAAGAACAAACACAGATAATTTCTGTACCAACCCATTCAATAATTCCTTCAAACATGTAAACTGCAATAAAACCCACCACGAAAAAACACAAATTCACGCACAAAAACACAAAAATCTATAAAATACGTACCTGAGATCGATCTTTGAAACGTTGTTTGACCTTTCCAAATGAATGTCCATTGCTATCATCCATTGATTCTTCGTTGCTTGACATTTTTGTTCAAAATCTAAAAGGTGATGAAGGGTGCTTTGATGTGGTGCGCGCGGTTCAATATAAACACGGATTCGCTCTGCGTTATCTCTGTCTCGATTTCAGGAATGCTTTTATTGAATCAGAGAATTAAATAAACTTTGAGGATTGATCATTTCTGTTGTTAATCAATCTGGGATTGCCTTCTTTATCAAAAACTGCTTATTTTATTGAATGCTTTGCCCCTTTGTTTTGTTGATGATTTACTTTTTTCAGAGCACACAATCCCATGTACACACGTAAGGCATGATATCTTCATGTATTTCTTTTCTTTACTTTTTTTTTTAAAAAAAAAATTAAATAGGGAAAATGTCCAAATTCTGAAATTCATCCTTATAATATTTGAAATTATTCAATTTTGTTATCATTTATACTTTTAGTTCGTTTATATTCTTGCCCATTAGCAAATTATCTTGTATTTGACATTATTGGAGCTCTAATATCGAACAAGTGGATTCTTAATATCCAAATTCTTTAAGAAAAAAGAATAGAAATTTATAAGTTTTAACTATGATTTAAATTTATCTTATGCTTGAAGCTTATGTCCATAAGGAGTCGAGGATAAAAACAAGATTATCTTTTGATGGCGAGAGCAATATTAAATAAAATAATTCAACTAATGATAAAGTTGCCTAATTTCAAAATATAAAAAAACAAAAACAAATTTAGCAGTTTTAAATAAGTATGTTTACATTGAATCTCAAAGTTGCAAACTCAAAAACAAACGGCAAATATCATTTCATTAAATCTCTCGCCTGAGGACTAACGTTTGGTTGTTAAAAAGATTACACGAGCTTACATGTAAGGCGTAAAAATCTCCTAATGGTGTGGGATTATTCGGAAAAAATCGTACGAGTTCGGTTCAAAGCGAACAATATCACATCATATTAAGAGTATTTATGGACCGTTTAGTTCAACAATGGGTGTCAAAGTCCAGGTTCAGTGAAACGATTATGGCGATGGCAAATTGATGGTGCAGGCTCGATTCGCTTACCCTTACGAGTTTGGAGACACGCTCATAGAAAGAAACTAGTTTGTAGGCTTTGATTGCCATAAATACTCTAACGATATGGGTGAAACACATTGAATCTATGAAATTGATTTGTGAATCGTGGAAATGGCCATGTGGAACGTTGTTCGAGGAAAAGATTGTTGGGTATACGAAAAAAGAGCCCGTTTGAATTGGCTTAAAAAGTGGCTTTGTATGAGAAATACTCCCTCCATTTACTTTTACTTGGCAGGTATACTAAAAATAGATTTTTATTTTTACTTGTCACTTTATGCATATCAAGAGAAGACAAAAAAAAAAATCTGTGTTTTACCGACAGTATTTATTACTCATTTCAATTCATTTTCTCAAATCCAATAAAATATGCATCAATTAATATGGGTATCATGGTAAATTATGCACTTCATTTATTATTTCTCGAGGGGCGTGAAAAGTCAAAATGTACCAAGTAAAAGTGAACAGAGGGAGTAACTTTTAAGCCAAAAAGTAATAAGCTAGGGTTGCCCAACCTATTGCTTTTGGCTTGTTTTAAGTAATTTTTTAACTTATTTTAAGCACTTTTTGACTTTGTCAAATACTAAAAAGAACTTAAAAGCTTATTTGATCAGCTTAAAAGCCAATCCAAACACCTTCAAAGTCCTCATTGATAGCTGAAAAGATTGGGAGCTTACATATAAGATATAGAAATCTCTTAATTGTAAGAGACCTTTTGAAAAAAATCGCACAAACTTAATTTAAAGCGAACAATATCACACTTGTTAAGGTTATCGAATTGTTTTAGCCCAGCATGTTACTTGTTCAATATCTTAAGTGGTTAATAATTATCGAAACGGACTTAATATTCGAATATAAAACATTTGATGATGTATGATATTTCGTGTATAATTAAACTGTCCTCCTTTTTCTCCATTAAATTTCGTGTATTATTAAATTGTCCATTCGAGGATAAGTCATCGAGCTAGCATGTCTCGAACTAAAAATGTCACACGTCAATTATGGACAGGTAGTCGTGGCCCCATTAGCCAGCAAAATGACAATATAGAAATTGGTAGATGACTCATTGACCTGTTTTTTTTTTTTTTTTTTTTTTATATATCATGCTCCTTTATAATTTTGAATTTAAGCAAATGATCATTTTAGGTATCTTATGTATAAAAGACAGATCTCTTACGTGTAAAAGTTAATCTATCATGTGTAAAAAAAAAGATAAGGTCATAAAACTAAAAATAAATTTGTAAAGAACCACAAAACAAATCGACCCCATTTGGAAATGACAATCGAGATGCATTATCTATAAATGGTTAAAAACTAAGCAATTATGCAAGCTAACTATTCATGCTCTAAATTTCTGCTGATAATCGGACTGCAAATATTTGAGGAGTTTTTGACATGAAAGGTGCATAACATGTGAGCATAAATGTAGTGCGTGGTTTCCCTATTGGCCAACCAAATAACTTTGGAGTGAAAAAAGGAGAAAAAAAATTAAAATTCTTATACAAATAAGAAAAAGTCCAAAGTCATACATTATTTTTGGCTTTAGATTCAAAATAATACGTATTCTTTCACATGAACCACTAATAGTCAGTCTTTTTTCTTTAATAAAGTGATGCATTTTTAGTCATAATCATAGACGTTGTTAGTTTTTTAACGAATAAATGATAGCCTAAAGCCAAAAATAATGTATGATTTTGGCCTAAAGCAGGTTGAATTTACTGTTTGTTTTTTCTGGTTGAAATACATAGTATATACTCTCTCCGATCCACTTTAAGTGAGCTTTTGGCTGTTTTCACACATATTAATGAATCCATCTTTTAGCATTAATTAACAATATAATTGACCATATTATTCTTAATTTGTTCATTGAAAATACAAGAAATACTCCTATGCTCTTTACTGCAAGTGCAAGTTTGAAAAAAAGAAGGTAATTATTTATTGATATTTGAAAAAATCAAATATTATGGACCCAGAGGTGGACCCAGAATTTGAGGACGACGGGGGCACCACTGTGTGCTAATCAGTAGCGATAAAATTCGGCATGCAACTCTTTGAAAACTTAATGATTATATTGACTTATCTTCCAA